CTTTCCCTAGGAAACCAGGTTAAAAATAACTACATACAAAGTTTCAGAATTTAGAAAATTAAGCATTTAATTGAATGCACTCTGGTTTCTTTTTGCTAATTAAAGTAAGTGGTGAACTGACTGCATACACAAACTGTATGTTCATTTTATGCTAGTGGGAAGTAGAAAATGCCCAAATTTCCCAGTGAAAGAAGAAAGTAAGGAACAACAAAGAAGAGGAAGGATTGTGGGTGTTGTATAAAGAAGGAAGAGTACATCACAGTCTCAAACAGGCGACATCAGAGTGACAAAAAAAATAGTGGCAAAAATTGCCAGCAGCCACAGCTCGCCTTAACAGACGGTTGCTGTCTAGGCTCAGTGCTTCACACTACAATCTGAAGTTTCAGTGCTCGGTCCCTCATCCACCAAGTGTCCTTCACAGGGTATCAGAAAGGATCTGGAAGAAACCTTACACACTTACACGAGCCCGCAAGGCATGAAAGCATACATCCCAAGGCAGCTCAATGCCACCAAGGGGCCGGAACTCCACCACAGCTGCAGTGCCTCCCCTTGCAGTGGGAGACTTCTGTTATTTTTGCCAGCACTGCTTTCAAAGACAAAACTTCTTTTGATGGAAGACAATACCAACAAAGGATAAGTCACACACCTCATGGCAGGTCTGTTTGCTGTGGTTTAGATTCAAGCTGTTGTGTTCAAAAGTGAACACCAAATCGGTGAACAGCATCTAGTTCTTTCACGGAGGAACTAATCTACAACTTATCACGCTGTGGAATTACGATCTAGTGCATATTGTCAAAATGTGCTTTGAGCCAAATGTCACTCTGCACGTTACCTGTATAGATCAGAATCTCTCCTGCACAGACATGTGAAGTGGTGAAATAGTAGGCAAGAAATATTTTGGCATGAGATTACACACAAACATTCAGCAACGCACAGGATATACTTCAGGTAGCAGACTGTTTATTCTAGAATTGACAAAAAAATAATTAAACACAAACAGGTACCTGAGAAAGCTGTATGTGACAGCTGTCCTTTTATTATGTTGTGATCTCTGATCCAAGTTTATTTCATAGACAGAGGAAGTGGTTTATAGTCACGCATATTATTTTGATATTTTTATTTCAAACTTTGATGCATTTTCACTGAATCCTCCAATCTATCCCTTTTCAGCTAAATCGTAATAAAAATTAGGATAACATAGTCCCTCTTGAGTTTGCTAGAGGGTATTTATTTTTACAGCCATACTATAAGGTTTTAAAGAAAACAGCAGTTGAAGCAGTTCAAAGCAACCATAGCCTGAATTTTCTAGCACAGATGCCTAGAGAGAGGCACTTCAGATGCATATTTAGGTACTA